GAGTTATAATTGACAAACCAGTGAAAGACTACACGGATGAGGACTTTGAAAAAATTGAGGAACAAGAAAAAGCTTTGGCAACTCTAACTATGGCTCTATCACCTGATATTGCTCAAGGCTTCAGAGAATATGAATCAGCTAAGGCACTGTGGGAAGCATTGATTGAGGTTTATGAGGGTAATGATGACATGAAGCAGAGTAGACAAGACATGCTTCATCAAAAGTTCAACTTGTTTAACCATGTTCTTGGGGATCTTGAGGCTCAACTCCAACGATTCATTACACTCACCACCGAAATGAGCACAACAAGAATTTCTGTACCACGATCTTAGATTAACAAGAAATTACTGAATTCTCTTCCCAAGTCATGGGACATGAACGTTTCTGTAATCAAGAAAACCAAAGATCTCAACCGAATCACTCTGGCGGAAACGATGGCTATCATTAAAGCTTGCGATTTGAATGATAAGCAACGCGAGATAAACCATGTGAACTCCTACTCCACAGCAAATCTGAGCATTTCATCAAACAATGCCTTCTCTTCATTCACTGTCCTACGAAATCAAGCTTTCACCATTCCACAGAATCATGCAATTCCTCAAACCCACACCATTCCACCAACCATGCCTTATCAACACTCTTATCAACACCCTGCCTCTTCATCAAAAGCTCCTATCACCACTTCAGCTCCCAAAGAAGCTGAAGAGAATATGGCTCTAGCCTCTGGTCTAGTAAATTGATACAATGCCTTCGTGGCTGGAGACTTGCCTCCCTAAATTTCATTTGTTGATCTTAACCAAATTCACCCTGAGGATGTGGAGGAAATGGATATTACCTGGCAGATTGCAATGACGGTATTCAGGGCTAAACAGTTTGCCAAGAAGACCGGGAAAAACAACTGGGGCATGAATGTCGATAAGAAGGTTGGGTTTAACAAAGGAAAGCTGAGATGTTTCAACTGTCACGAGCCAGGACACTTTGCTCGTGATTATCCGAAGCCAGATAGAAGAGAGAACCATGATAGGACAATGGTACCAATGATGAACAACAGAGGAACAATATCCAATAGTGAAACTGCAAATTTAGTAGTAGTGGCTCAGTCATTTGGTTGGGAAGATCAAATTTCAAGCATTGAACATTTCAGGACCTGAGAATGCTCACCTAGCACAGATTAGTGAATCTCCTGAAGAAAATGTTGAAGAAGATCCTGAAGCCGAAATGATGCAGCTACAGTTTGCCTTCATGGTATCTACCACTTCTGAGCCTAAGAAGAACGAGGCCAGTGACAATTCTTGTT